CTTTCTTGGTTTTCAGATTTGCTTGGGATGGTTACTCCTATCTTTTGGTCAATTTTTACCTCTTGGAATGGAAATATGTACCCTATGCCTACCCCACCACGGTGTGTCCTGATTAGCCCTCTTTGATTTTGTGATGCTTGCGTTTAGATGTGAAGAATGCAGGCCAGAGAAGGTTGAAAAGGAGTCCGCTGCCCTAACCCACCCACTGATAATAAAGAGGAGAGCAGAGAGGCTGTGAGGCCAGTCAATGCTCTCAAGAAAGAATGGTCAACCCACTTAGCATGGCCTCTTCCCTTGATGATTCAGGCTTCTGGAATTGGCTCACACTCTGGCCTTTTGAGGTAAAAACAGCTGTCATGTATGCAGACGTGTACCCCTTTAACTTACTTACTTACTTACTTATGTCTATATGTATTTATTAAGCAGTACTGGAGATTCCGGGAGTGCTCTGCCACTGAGATACATCCCCAGCCCTTTTATTTTGAGACAGGATCTTGCTAAGTGCGAAGTTGCTCAAGCTGACCTTGAATTTGTGATCCTCCGACCTGGGCTTCCCTAGTAGCTGGGATTACAGGTGTGTACCACTGTGCTGGGTTCCCTTTAACATTTTTAAACAAAACTGGTGATTGCAAAGAACAAAACAGGGATTTCTCTATAGCTACAGAATCTGAGGGCCAAATCTATGCAATCAGAAACACTGACACCTAGTGTTGACACTGAAAAAGGACAGATGGTGAGAGGTATTTGAGAATGCCATGGGTTTTCTTAACTTTAAGCCCCTATACCAACACGGAGGGGGGCGGGGAGACAATTCCAGCCATTTCCAGGCCTTCCCTCACCTCCCCAGGGTCTCATAGGACCAGGATATGAGAGATGAGCCAGGCTTTCCTCTCCTGTTCCTCCTAGTCACTGTTGCTCCCTGGACCCAGAGCTCTTGGCTTCTGTTCTGTGCATTTTAAGAGGTTTACTTCTCATCTCTCTTATTCTCTTTATTCCACCTGCAATTTGAAATCTGCCCACTGTCAAAAAAAAAAGAAAAAAAAAGAAAAGAAAAAGAAAAAGAAAAATCATTCAGGTGCCTCTGGGTGTAGAAGCACCTTTTTGCCTGTAATGTCCCAATGGCTACATTTACAAATGCTTTTTTTAATGAATAAGCAAAATGAAAACATTTAGACCAGAAACCAATTCTGGTTATGAACCTGAAATGTCCCCCCACCCCCTCTCCTTCTCCCTCTCCTGTCAAAAAAAAAAAAAAATTGAAAAATATCCATTAGTTCAGTGTTGTTATAATAGTACATTCTTCTACCCTTTGAAACAAATTTTAAAATGAGAAGCATAGGAAATTTTTGAAAATTTTTGTTTAAATATATCATTTCTGCTGGGCATGATGGCACATACCTGTAATTCCAGTGGCTTGGAAGGCTGAGGCAGGAACACTGCTAGTTTGAGGCCAGCCTCAGTAATTTAGCGACATTCTAAGCAATTTAATGAGAGCTTGTTTCAAAATAAAAAATAAAAAGGGCTGGGGATGTAGTTCAGTGGTTAAGTACCCCAAGGTTCAATCCCTGATACCAAAATCAACCAACCAACCAATCAATCAATTAATCATTTCTTTTAGCAATCAGGGAAACTCTGGTGTTCATGAATGAGATTATCGTATGTATTTGTTGCCTGTAGTCCATTGCTACTATAAGAAACTATAAATATTTCCCAAGTGGGGAGCTCATTTTTTTTAGAGAGAGAGAAAGATAATTTTTTAATATTTATTTTTCAGTTTTCGGTGGACACAACATCTTTATTTTATTTTATGTGGTGCTGAGAATCGAACCCAGCGCCCCACACATGCCAGGCGAGCGCATTACCACTTGAGCCACATCCCCAGCCCAAGTGGGGAGCTCTTAAAAGGAAGAACATTACATGATGAGTAGAATCAAATCATCCCTTGCTGAGCTCGTGATAAATTTGCTTTTTCCTATCAAAAGCTGGGAGAAAAGGGAGAACAAATGAGCTGTGTTTTACAAAAATGGAATTAATACTAGAAGTTACTTGCGATCAATGGCTATGAAAATCTAATTTATTCAGTGGCTCTCTTCTATTTAAAAAGTGCATTGCCTGTGTATTGAGCTCAATGATCTAGGCCCTCGGAAATTAAAGAGTGAACTGTGTCTAAGGAGTTTATGGTTTGTTGAGTTTGCTGTAACCTCATTAACAATTTAGTACATCAAACTTATTAGGTATTTTAATTTCAGAGTCCTGGAGTTTTAAGGAGAGTAATGAAATTCCAGAATGTCCCTTTACTCATTAACCACTGATGTTTAAACAAACTAGTCTCTCACATTAAAACTACAAGGACACCTTCATTTGACTCCACTTTCTCTAGTTACTGCCTTCTCTCTTTCCCTTCACAGATAAATTACTCAAGAGCTTGCTGTATTTTCTTTCTTTATCCCTTCTCATCTGACTTTCCTCCCACCTAGCAAAACAATTCTAATGTTCCATTGACCCCTTTCAGGCTTCATTTTGTCCAATTCATCTCTTCTTGAAATGCTCTTATTTCCATTCTGTCCTGAGTTCCCCGAATGATAGGGTATACGTGCTGGGTACACGAGGTTAAGGGAACAATTCTATAAAATGGACCCACTGTGCTGACCCCCACGTGCTTTTTTCAGCAAGCAATTTACCTGCAGCCCTGCCCAGCTTAAGTGGACAGAATACGTCACATTCCTCAGCAAACTACCTGCAGGAAAAATGCAGGCCCCAAATAATGTTAAGAGGACCCCAAGTTACCCTGAAGGGGGAAACGTTTGTGACCCTTTTCACAGACCATATCCAGAAACTCAAAATTCAGAGATAAGGATAATTCCTCCTAATCATAAAATCTATAATAATTTATTGTTAAAAATTCAATTAGAACTGGTCAGCATAGGCCAAAGTGTCCTAGAGTTGTCATGGCAGTGGGGCCTTGAAAGACTGATGACACCCTGCTGTAAGAGGTGGATCTAGGTAGGACTCTCTGGAAGCTTCTCTGGGATTGCCAATAAAACTGGAGTGCAGGAGAAACACACCCCTCTCCTCTCCAAGAGGGCCCACACTCTCCTCTGAGGGTGTCCCCTTTCCCTTTTCCAATCCCTTCAATAAATTTATGACTGTTACTCTGACAGGTTTGAAATCTTTCTGACTTAATTGCAAGAATTGGGGTTTGAAGGTGGGAGGGTGTCTTCATGCTGCCTCAGTTTTCTATAATGACTCAGCCCTGTAACACTACCTCCTAGGTCTCTCGTAGATTCTATATATGGCTGTTACATATTAGAATCTCTCAAAGCTCAAGTCCTAGGGCTTTTTCTTTTCATTTTCTGAACCTTACTGAGCTAATCTCATCCATGTCTATGTCAACCACTCCAGTTTATATTTCCTTCTAAGACTTTGCTTCTGAGTTTCAGAACTGCGTAGCCATTGCATTCTATCCATTGCTGCTTGGAGATCTCAAGTTCAACATGTTGCAAATGGGTGGAATCATGATCTTCTCTCCTCCACACCTGTGTCTGATATCTCAGTGAATGGCACTGTGATCCATAGGCTACATAATCCAAAGACCTCGGATTAATTTTGAACCTCCCTTTCCTTTAGTTCTCCCCACACACCCCACCACCACCACAGTATGCAGTACATTACCAATCCTTCTAAATATCTCTGCATCTGTGCTAGTGGTGCCCTAATCTATGCTAATGTGTTTTTCTACCCGGACTACCTGCAGTAGCCACCTAATTGGCTTTGTACATTCTTCTTTTTTAGCTCAGTCTGTTTTCATCACTGTAGCCAGAATAATCTTAAAAATTTCTGGTCCAATAAAGACATTTAGGTGCTTAAAACATTTCTATCACTTAGCATTGCTTGGAGCAGAAAGATCACAATCTGTCTCTTGGTTCCACTTCCCATCAGGCTTCCCCCTTATTCCCTCTTCTCCTGGCATACTAACTTATTTTCAGTTAATGTGCAATGTTCCTTTTTAGCCACAGTTCTTTCTGTACAGCTAGCCACTGTGAGAAACTCTTCCCCTCTTTCTATCTCCGGTTGCCTAGGCAACACCTAATGGATGGTCACTTTCTCACAAAAGCCTTCCCTGACCTGGAGACTGAATCACATTCTCCTTTTCTTCACAGAAATTAGCATCATTTATATTTACACATGTTATGGTCTAAGGATTTGATAAAAGTTTGTCTTACTCAATAATCGGGTTGACCATTAAAGGCAGGAAATGTATTTATCCTTCTTAACCATCTGATCCTCAAAGCCTTATGTAATGCCTGGCACATAGTAGGCATTCAGTAAATTTTTTGACTTAATGAATAAAGAAAATAAACACATGAAGGTCATAGTGAGTTGCCCAAGGTCAGGATGGCAAGGCTGAAACCATAGCCAAATATTCTAAGTTCCGGTCCAGCTCACCAGCCTTCTCAACAATGAGTTTATCCAAAATTTTATTCTGAATCATTGGAACCAAAGTAACTTTACAACTCATCAATTTCTCAAGTCCAATTTACAAGTCCAATTTCTCAACCCTTCTATTTTCTACCAATGGGATTTATTCAGTAAGGTGATGCTGTAGGTATAGTAATTTTTTCTTTTTCCATGAAGTACATGCTATATTTGTTCCATTTTAAAGGGGTATTATGATATGCCACTATTTCAAACTTGTAAAGCTTCTCAGGATTCTAAGAAGAAATACAAGGTTTTTGTCAAAAAGAACAATTTTGTCTCTTGCAATAGAATTTCCTGTTCAAAAAGTGCTATTAATTTGAAAACTATATCTCCAAAAGAACATTCTATTAGGTGGGATCATCATCATCGTATTCCCAGCCGCTATGTATATATCTTCTCTTAAATGTGAAAAGGGAGAAAGCCACTTTGCTGTGTAGAAAAGTGCCTCGTGTGTTTTATAAAATGTTCAGTAGTTAAAGGAGAGGCTGCTGCATTTGTAAGATAAATAGGCTATCCCTGAAGAAGCTTGCAGATCTGATTCTCAAGGGTCTTTGTGCCATGGATGAAAATGGGATCATTACTTTTGATCCTCTGCACACGTCACTGACTCCCACCTCCAGCTGATCCACGGGTTATAAGTACCTATGAATCGTCTTGCAGATTGTAGGCAAGATTACCTACAAGGGCCAGCCAAAGCCAAGCTCCTGGTAAGCTTTATTGCCCTTTGTATTTCTGTTTCCATTTCACATATTGGGGTGGAAAGACAATCTGTATTCATAGGTATGAGATCCATTTCTCTGTCTCAGATGTGTATGTTGGAGGCATTTCTCAGTATAGGGTATCTGAAGTAATTTTTTCTTTTTTAAGGCTGCTATCTTAAGACATAAGTAATTTAAGGTTTGGCTGTAAAACTTGCTTTCTTTGGAGAAAGCAAAGTGTGTATTTATTCAAAGATGAAAAAGGCATACTTGGACTTTCTAGGTTGTATTCATAATTGCTTTGCTCATCATTGTATAATGTTCTCCTTATCATGGACTCTTTTAAGTGAATCACCTGGATTTGGAGGGCCTCATTTGAAAGTGAATATGGAAAAGATGGTTGAAAAATTTAGGTGAACCAGTAGTCATTTCTCCTTCCTTTTCTACCTTTATAGATTACCCGCCCCCCATCTCTCCTTTTACTCAGCTTCATTGCATCATGACCAAAGCACCTCTCTTGCTGCTATGTGTTGCCCTGGTGCTAACTGGGCATGTGCATGGAGCCACACTGAGAAATGAAGACAAGTGGAAGCCACTCAGCAACCCCAGAAATCGTGATCTGGTAAGAACACATCTGGAACATGCTGAACATAAGGTGGAACTGGCACCTCTCTGAAATTATGCACACTGTGTCCTGTATTGTCGAGCAGAGTTGAGAAGAGGCTACCAGGAGTTGAGGATTTCCACAAGGACAGGTCCAATGTTTTGCTAGTTGAGTGGTGGGCATTCTATTGTTTCTATGGCCAGTTCACATTTATTTCTGTAAGGAGAAACATTTATATTTAGAAATGATCTTATGCATACTCAGCACATGACATTTGTAAATGTCTTATATACACATTGACTTTATAGCCTTGATTCCTAATACATACACAAAATAATGTAATTGTGGTATGTGCCTGTAATGCCAGTTACTTGGGAGGCTGAAGCAGGAGGATCACAAGTTTGAAGCCAGCCTTAGCAGCAACATAGTAAGACGCTTTCTTTTTTTATTTATTTATTTTTTAGTTGTAGATGGACAGCATGCCTTTATTTCACTTATTTATTTTTATGTGGTGCTGAGGATCGAACCCAGTGTCTCACATATGCGAAGCAATCGCGCTACCACTTGAGCCACATCCCCAGCGCAGTAAGATGCTTTCTTAAAAAATAAAAAGGGGCTGGGTTACACACCTGTAATTCCAGTGACTGAGGCTGGAGGATTAAGAGTTTGAGGCCAACCTCAACAACTTAGCAAGGCCCTAAGCAACTTAGTGAAATCCTGTCTCAAAAATAAAAAAGAAAAAAGGGTTGGGGGGTATGGCTCAGTGGTTAAGCACTCCTGGATTCAATCCCCAGTACCTGAATAAATAAGTAAATAGTATAGCAGGGAATTGGTTTTTTTGCTCAACATAAATTGTACTGATGATAACATAGACAATCATACAACCAACATTTGCAAAACTTAATCACAAAAATTGGAAAGTGACCCTGCATAGTTATCAACTTACTAAGCATGTTTTTAACATATGGTTATATAGAAAATAGAATTCAGAAGACCAGTAAAAATTCTAAAGCATGCCAAATACAAAACATGTTGATATGACTATTTCAAATATATTTTTTCTAAAGAAAATGATGTGAAATGTAGATTAGAATAATTAAACCAGTAGTACTTTGCCCAGTTTCTATGTGTTTGTTTCCTAAACAGAATCTGAAAAACACTTAAAAAGAAACTACTGCCAAGGGCAGCAAATGGCTCTCTCCTTCAGCAGAGGAGACACTGAGCTAATAAATGTGGAGTTCAGATTCATTTATGACCTCAGTACTCAGACAGCTCACAATGAATCCTGCCTGTGGTGTTATTATGATTGACATTCCTCTCTTGGAATTTTTCATCAACAGTGGTGAATGATCTTGTTTAGGGTTGAAATGTAAGAAAGATGGTAGGAGGAGAGGAGGAGGAGACAAATTGAAGCTTGAACTTCTCTTTCTGGATTTTCAACCTCCTGCTTCTTAGATTAGTCTTAAAGTCAATTCAGGGAGAGAAAAGGAGAGGAAAAAAAAATCATATTTGAGTTGTGATGTTTCATTTACATATGGCAATGAATATTTTCTTTCTCTCTAGTTTTTCAGAAGCCTTCAGGCATATTTTAAGGGCAGAGGTCTTGATCTTGGGAGGTTTCCAAATACTTTCTCCATGAACGAGAATCCCAGACCTCTCTCTTTCCAGCCAGAACTGATAGCTGCTGCGTTTGCAGACTATGAAGAACAGAAAAATTCCTTTCCCAATTACCTCAAAGGCTGAAAGTTTCCTCTGAGCTCAGGTAAAAGTTGTTGCTTTACTCCCAAGATCTAACCAAACATTCAAATCAGCCATAAGTAGAGGTTTATATTTCTTTGAAAAGTGACTTATTTCCTCAGAGAAAAAAGTGCTTAGTTCTGATAATACTCATCACGATTAAATATTTGAGTTTGGTTTGAATATTTTATAGTATGGCTTTTTAAAATATTAGTTACAAATTTAAGCATATATTTCTAGGGATACATATATTAAAATATTGAATTGTTACTCTTAATAGAATGATTAAATTAATTAAATATCACATACTCTTACCTACAGCTTCTTTCAGACCATGTCATATAGCTAAGTTATGTAGAAAATCATACATAAAGAAATATATCAAATTGATCAGTTGGGTTAAATAAAAAATAAAAGTTAAAAGAATGGTTCTTTTGAAGGGGAAATCAAACTCATAGAACTCGAATTTCCTAATTTAGAGAAAAACAAGGTAAAATATTAGTAAAGATGGCATTTATGGGGTTGTGAATATAGTTCAGTGGTAGATATTTGCCTAGCATGTATGAGGCCCTAGGTTCAAGTCCCAGCACTGCCAAAAAAAATCATGTTTAAGACTTGAATTTAGTATTCTTATTACTTTAGCCTTCTATATGTACCATTTAAAAAGAAGCAGGTTATGGTACATTTCAAGAAAATACATTATGGTTCTAGCATATTAGCATCTTGTTTGGCTGAATAATAAACAGAATGGAATCATAATTAAAATCTTTTCCCATTCTTCTACATATTGGTGAAATTGTGAGGAAGCATAACCACCATTATATTTCATTGTATTTTTGAGAGGGTTTTCACTATAGTTCTCTAAAATGAGATGATTAAAAGAAATAATGATCCTTATTTTTAAAAAAAGATGCAATTTGTGATGTGAAATATGAACTTGAATACTATCCTAAGATGAAAAAATAAAATGGAATAAACAGAAAGATACTAATAAAGTTTTTCCTTGACTATTTTTCATAAACAGACTGTAGGGTATCAGAAGCTAAAACAGAATAATCATTAATACCATAGTTCCTATTTTGGTATGAGGTATATAAATTGCTTGTAAGCCTCAGTTTCTTCATTTGTAATTGCAGATACTAATCTCTACCTCACAGAAAGTATCACAGAAGTACTAAATAGATACTTTACTGTAAGCATGGATTGAGGTAATATAGGAATTATTCAAAGTTGTGAAAGAAGCTGAGCTTCTGATTTGGAGTAATTTCATAATTATGAGCTCTATATTTCTAATATCTCTGATATAAAAATGAGAACAAAAAGTTTTCAATGAATTATGTTGAGTTGGGTGTCTTTGTCTTAATTTTCTATTTCATTATAACATTTTCTTGTTCTTTCAGGAGTCAAGGCCATTTTAAAACCACAGAAGCAGCTTCTCTTTAGAACTATTCCACCATGGTCATGGCTAAACTTTTGCGTGTTATTTCTCCTTCATGCTTATTAGTCAATTTGTAATGATTTTATTCTACATGCCCATATTTATATATAAATATTTGGACCTTTGTGATGTATGTGACTTATGCGCATATTTTGGAGTGTTTTTTCCCTTCTATTATCATATTGATGTAGGGCACTGCATGTATTTATAGGACTTACAAAACATGAAAAAAAAAAGACATCATAGGTTCAAAGAGATAATAATCTTCCAAATTAGATATTTTCCTTAAAAACTCACAGTCTTAGTTTCATATCAAATGAGAGTACGTCGAAATGGAAGCAAGCAGATATGGGATTCTAGGAGGTACCAAGGTCTCTGGAAGATGCTCTCATGCTAATATATTCGGAGACTGACATTGTGTTAAATCAAATATTCTAGCTACACTCAGTCTTCAGTCTGTGGAACACAACCTCCTCAAGAAGAGAGAGGAGAAACAGGAGGATTTCTATTCTTTTCCAACCAACCTCCTCTCCTCATCATAGTGTGTTCTAAATTATTCTAATTCCCATATGCTCATTTGGAATGACTACCTGTGCTATATCATTATGGATAGTTACATCATTTTCTCTGTGATTCCTGCAAAAGAAACACTGTACTAGAATATGAACATCAATGTCCTAACAATGTTAATCTGTATGTTCCAAAATAGTTTTAGTGGGTTTTTGTGGATTGTCAATACTGAATATCAATAATAAAATGTTTATGTAAAAATAAATTCTGCCTAGTTTAATATATTTTATTGTAGTTAGTTGTAAATGTGTCTGTTTTCCCTGGAGGATTGTGAGGTCTTGGTGAGAAAAATATCATGTCTAATCCTTTTTTTTTTTTTTTTTTGGTACCAAGGTTTGAACTCAGGGTCACTCAACCACTGAGCCATATCCCCAGCCCTATTTTGTATTTTATTTAGAGAAAGGGTCTCACTGAGTTGCTTGGCGCCTCACTTTTTGCAGAGGCTGGCTTTTGAACTCATAATCCTCCTTTTTTAGCCTCCAGAGCTACTGAGAAAATAAGCATACACAACTCCTCCTGGCTCCATTTTTTTTCTCCTGAGGCTAGCACAATGGCTAGCATGTAGCAAGTGTTCAATAAACACTTGTTAAATTGAAGTAATTGTGCCCTATTCTACTATCCTTCACACTATAATGGAAGCTGCTTTTAGTTGACAAAATTATTCTTTCCCATTAAAATATAATTATTGATAAGCATAGCTTTTATAAAGAAGAGAGTGTTTCACTGCTATTGAGTTCCTTTCCAAGTACCAGTGGTTTTCCTTTTCTCACTCCTACTCTACCACTGGGTGTCAAGACCACCACAAAGGGAGTGCTTATCAGCTTCAGGACCTTTGAAAAGGAAAGACACTCACATAGGATTTAGGCAAGAGCTTGCAAAGTCTCAGGGCAGAATTTTGCATCCTTCAGCTGCAAAATTCATCACAATTAGTAGCTGTTAATAGTAGCCCTTACTCCACATTGCCTTGAGGTCCATAATGATGATGCTATTGATACCTCGGGTTACTGGTGACGAGTTCTGCTCCCTCTGCTCCCTCTGTTATGTTGAAGTATAACATTAGAGAAGCATGCCGAAGCAAGCATACAAAGCAGGGTTCATTTAAAAAGGGGGGTAACAGACTTCTCCCAGGAGGGAGAAGGGGGCCATATTTGGTATCCTGGTATCCTAAGAAGCGAGGTGTTCTGCCTTTTTTTAATATGTCCTAGGCTTCCTTTGTTCTCCTGCTCACTTCCCCTATCTCTCTCCTTCCTTCCTACATGACTAGGCCCAGGAGATGCTCAGTGGGATGGCCAAAAGGTAAGAAGCAGATGGATGGGAGAAGACCAGCCAGGGACACATTAATAACTTTATAACTCCCTGTAAGAGGTGGGGGGCAATTCCTGGGACAGGTTACCTTAGCAACAGGTTGGAGCAGGGGCAGGTTCTTGATAGGGTGGAAGAAGGGCTCTGAAGGAATTAACATTTCATTCCTTCAGGGGACAGTCTCCAACTTCCCGAGCTCAGTCAAATTGGCCTCCTTGATCTGACCTGACTCAATTTACCTATCTATACTGACTGCCTGTCTAATTCTGGCTTCACTGTTGGCATTTGGAGAAGGCAAAATCTTCACTTTGTGTCAATTCTGGTCTTCACACCACCCCTGGGAAACAGAAAAATTGTTAGGAAAATAGAAGAACTGTCGTCTTTCCTTGAAGAGAAATAAATGTTCTGCAAATGTTCAAGGGGTCTGTGGTACTCCTCTACTTAGGACCTTGGCAGCCTCCCACCACTGACCCTGCTCTTTTTCAGTGAGGACCCCATTCTCAGGACATAGCCTGTTGTTCTCTGTCTCAGATCTAGTTTGGTCAAGAACTGTTGAGAGTGTGTGGTTGTATTGTATTTGTAAGCTACACAATAGTTTTCTACATTTTCATCAATCCAGGCAGTCACATGAAACTCCGGTCTGAGACAATTGGCTTTATTTCTCATGATGTGACAGGCAGCATGAATTTTATATTCACGTGGGTTCTCCTCATCCCCCAAATATTGAAGGGAGGGCATGCAAATGTGGGTTCAGGGGCATGCTTGGCACAAGTGGGTTTGTGCCAAAGGTTTCTCCAAACTAGGAAATTCCTACTCTTATAATGGGGCTGCTTGCAAAAATGCTCAAACTTTGCCCTGGAGAGAAACATTATCTTTATTATACTGATCATAAAACAAAAAACTCTATGTCCCAGAAAGAAGCACTATCTCTACTTTTGAGCATGTTTGCTCTATAAAGAGAAACTTACCACAACCTTTTGCAGAAAAGTGAAAGTTCATGGAAAAATGGCCTCCCCAAAAGTGTCACAGCTCTTCCTGACTCCTCCTCTTGACAAGAAAAAAGAATGGAGAAATCTCTTCTCTCTGTACTCTCTTAATTCTCTCGTCATGGTATAAATTCAATGTTCTGCTTCCTTCAGACTTCCCATTTTGATTCTCAAAAATCAGCCTGAAGAACCAAAATGTTTCTTCTTGCTTTTTTCATTATTGCTGTAACAATTCTGCTTCATCACAAGGTAATGTGGATGCCGCTGACTCACCAGGGGACAAATCACTACCAGGAAGTGGGGAAAAAGAAAAACAGAAAGATTAAAAGTTCAAGTTACTCAAGTGTGTTCTGACTTCTAAAAGAACTTTCACATCATCAAGATTCTCCACCCACCCCTTGTGCATTGCTTCCTTCTTCTTTAATGGAAATCTGTACCTTCAGATTTGTTATTCCCAAATTCTAGGTATCCAACAATAAAACAAGCTAGTCTAAACCATCTGGGTCTTAGAGTGTTTTTACCAATTTACCATCCCCTCTTGCTTTGATTCTTTTCTTTTTTCCTAGGAGAGTTAGAACTAGAGATTCTTGACTTCTTAGATGCAGATCCCAACTGCCGGGAAAACTTCAGGGGAAAATTCCTACAAATGATTTCTGTGGATTACCTTGACATATCCCACTTGTTCACCTTTCATATTTTATACCCTGATAGTACCGTGAGGATTCTTCCTCTTGAGAAAGAGTATGAGATATTTTTTTCTCTCACCCAGCAGCCCTGCTTTTGCAGGTCCTGGCTTCTCATTCTGCCATCCTACTGCTGCTTAATTTCACCTGGATTGTCATAAAGATGGTCAAATGACAGACTCCCTGTAACTGTCTCTAACATTAGCTACATACCAAGCTATACTCTCCACACCTCAACTCCCTTGCTCACAGTTTCAAATGCACTTCCATTTTCATTCAATTTAACTCACAAACATGTTTTGAATACAAATTACTGGACTAGAGTAGGGTTTATGATGACACATGAGCTAGTGCTATTCTCAAAATGATTCCAAGTAGTCTCTAGATTAGGATATGAAGAGACACAGTAAATCAGAGTCTGGAGTTGAAAAACAGCTTCATTAAGGGAAGACAGTAAATCATCACAATTTCACACATGGGATTTGAAGCCAGAGATCAGGGATCAAATCCTGGTTCTAGGGCCCTGGTGTAGTTCAGTGGTAGAATGGGTGCTTAGCATACCCGAGGCCCTAAATTCAATCCCTAGCACCAAAAATGAAATTAAGAAATCCTGATTCTAGTATTTACTAGTAACTCCACTGTGGCATTGGGAATAACAACTTTCTTGACAGATGTACTTAATTTGTACGACAGTAGTTGCCCTAAATGGCATCAGCCTATAAACTCATCAAGTATTGAGAAGACAGCTGAGGAAAGCCAGATTTTGAGGATTTATGGAAAATGGGAAAACTGAAGGTGTCAGACGAAGGTGATGTGGTTTAAGGGGTAAATTGTGGGAGGACTTCAGTTTTCTGCAGCAGGAGCGATATGGAAAGTCCGCACGTGGCAGAGCAGTTAAATTAAGGGGGGAAATCATTACAGCCAAGACCGGATTAATTTCTTAAAAATTTCAGAAATGGAAACTGATTAGGAATGAGAATAAAACAATTTCGTGGAGTGAAGGGAGATTATCTAGATTTTAAAAGTCTCTTTGAAGCACATTTTTTTCCACCTGCCCCAAAGTTTTCATCAGCAGGCGGCTGGGGACAGCCCTGAGTGAGAGGGATCCACCGCGCGTCCTGGCGCACCACGCCGGGGCTGGTGGAAGAAAGCCCCGGGCCTGGCGCACCAGCGGAACCCGAGCGCGGTGTCTGCGGCGCGGGCCGGGCAGGTTTCCTTGGAGCACGAGGTGTCCCCCCATCTCCGCGGCCCCGGCGTCGAGTAGAGTACGGGAGTCGCTGCTTTCCTCTTCTTTGTTCCGGTGGTTGGGGCTGATTAAACCGACCCTGCAGACATGTCGGGGTTCAGCCCGGAACTCATCGACTACCTGGAAGGGAAAATCTCCTTTGAAGAGTTCGAAAGGCGGAGAGAAGAGAGAAAAACCCGTGAGAAGAAAGTGAGATGCCCACTCTCTCGTCCTAAAACACTTAGGTGTGGGGGACCCAGGTGACCCTTCCTCAGTGACAGGATGGGTCCAGAAGTCCCAGAAGCTTTTTCCTACTAATACCGAAACTCCGGTTTTCACCCCTCGTCCCTGTGCTAAGATCCTCTTAAAACATTTTCCCCCACCGAAAAGCTTTTGTCTCAGTGGTAACTTCTTCCCTTTTTTGGTAAATTTTTATTTGAGCCTAGCTTAATGCTGGTAGGTTACTTGGGAGCAGGGAGAAGACTTTGGAGTCAGAATGTTTGACTAGTTCTAGTCCTAGCTGTGCCACTAAGTCGTTTGTGAACGTGGGTGGGTAACCCACTTCTGTGGGCCCCAGTGTCTGTATTTCTGGTATCAAGGCCTAGCCCACGCTAGCCCTGCACGCTGCTCCAGAGCTAAACCTTAAACCCTGAGCTCCGGTTTTTGATGAGTCGGCGCTGGTGAGATATTGTCTTCCACGAAGTGAACCAAATTGATAAGAAAGTCTTCACTCATACTTCATTTTTCATACTTAGAAAATATCTGCACTTTGTACATCTTCTCGCTTACTTGAAGTCTCAGGGAAAATAAAAGTGAACATTTTGAAGTTAGCTGATGGTTTCTTGAGTAAGTGACCCATGTCTTTGTTGAAAGTATTAGATTAGTGAGAAAATCACTTTTATTATTTATTATTCTTTACAAATGACTTATTAAGACCGGAGAATAGACCTAAGTACTTGCTTTGACA